GACATCTCCACTGAACAAAACGGGGTTGTGAAAAATGCTGCCCATTTCAGGCGCAAAAAACACAAGCGCCCCAGGTCTGTCCAGCACCGACAGTCAATGGCGCTGACATTCCTCCCGATCAAAATCTGTGCTGGTACAGGCGTGCTGCCGAGAAGGCGCAACCACCAAGCACAGATACTTCTCCTTTCACGAATGTCGTGGCCAAAAAACGCTGAAAACAGTCCATATCAGGTCCACACGATCCTTCGAAAATGCCCAACGCAAACATCAGCATAGTGAGCGATCGCCCGACTGGTAAACACTTTTTCTGGGTGATTCACATTTATGTAAAACTATCGGAACACCTCATGGCCCAAGGGGCGAATGACGAGGATGCTGCATCGACACAGATCTATCTATCTACACAAATAGACTCATATGGTAGAAGTCCCTATTAGCCAATGGGATGCCAGGATAACGCTCGGTCATAGCCACTGGCAGAGCAGCTATAAGTATGTTGCGTTCAGGAAACTCGGAGGTGCGAGTAACAGCCAATACTCTAGTTTTACCTTTTGTATCTTGAAATTTCTTCCGTAACTAGAGGCAATATTTTCCTGTTCAGGCGTTTCGTAACTTGAAAATTTTGTATAAAGAGACGTTCGTAAGTGGAGGTACCACTGTATTAGCAATGGATGTATCAATTGGCTGCATCCCAAACGATACGCTAGATGGGAAACTGACTTCTGATTTGAATTACATTGAATTACATTGTCTTGGTTATATGATTATATCCACTCGGGCTGACTGCCCTCTCTTAGTAATGATCTAGAGTAATTAACTCGTAATTAACTATCCAATAGAAACAAGTCTTAGAAGGTATTCCCCCCTTTTCCAAACTATGCAACCCCCCCCCCCCCCAAAAAAAAGCAGCACAATTAGTCCAAAGTTAAGTCAAGAACTGAAGAACTGTCCTGAGGCTGAGGTTATCCTCACCTTTGTCTCCATCACACTTAATTACTGCAATGCACCTGGCACCATCGCGATGTCCCACATTGAGTTCCACAGTCTATACACCTCCACAAACACATACCCCTGCCCTCAGACATGTTTCTCTTTTTAAATCTGTGATGCCTTTTTCACCATGTGTCGTGTCATTGTTTTGATGTACTCGTTACTTTTAATTTTGTCATGCAATTTTGACAAATGTTTAATACATCCTACAAATAAAAAAATATATATGTCATTGTAGGTATTGGTGTTGACTTGGTGTGTTTGGGAGAGCAGCCATTACATGCAGTACCGCTCTTTAAGGTAAAACCCAAAGTCACTGAGGCTGTATAAAATCAAGTATATTTATTAATGAGTTCAACGTTTACTCCATAGTTGCACAATAAATCGACACCTGACTCTTCTGTGGGGAATGACTATAATCTGCCTCATTGGATCAACCACAGGCATGACTTTACTTTGATCATTTCAATAATTGTTTTTAAACTCTAAAAATAGACTGAAATAATAAACATCTCTTTTATGTTTTGTGCCTTTTTAGCTTCTACACTTCCAAAAGTCAGAATTCTTTTAATACCTTCATTCCCCGAATGAAACTTGCAGGCCACAAGGTGAAATAATTTATTTTTACTGTGATGTTCCGAGATTTGCATTGTACCATTTATATTAATTACAACCCTCAAAATCATATCTCCATATTTTTCTTCTAGCGTCATTATGAAAAACTAAAAAAAGGCACCGAACAAAGTAAGTTGTACAAATGCTTCAGTGTGCTTTTTTTTCTTTTCCTGTGCTCAAGAACTGTTTTTAATAACTTGCTATAGCTTTATCTATCCAAAAGGAGTGTGAGAACGGTCTGCCAATACCGGTGGACTATGATGCATATGACTCTCAGGTTTTTAGACTGCCTGGTCCTTCGCTGATTCAGAGAAGTCCCCACCCCCCCCCCAAAAAAAAAGCAGCACAATTAGTCCAAAGTTAAGTCAAGAACTGAAGAACTGTCCTGAGGCTGAGGTTATCCTCACCTTTGTCTCCATCACACTTAATTACTGCAATGCACCTGGCACCATCGCGATGTCCCACATTGAGTTCCACAGTCTATACACCTCCACAAACACATACCCCTGCCCTCAGACATGTTTCTCTTTTTAAATCTGTGATGCCTTTTTCACCATGTGTCGTGTCATTGTTTTGATGTACTCGTTACTTTTAATTTTGTCATGCAATTTTGACAAATGTTTAATACATCCTACAAATAAAAAAATATATATGTCATTGTAGGTATTGGTGTTGACTTGGTGTGTTTGGGAGAGCAGCCATTACATGCAGTACCGCTCTTTAAGGTAAAACCCAAAGTCACTGAGGCTGTATAAAATCAAGTATATTTATTAATGAGTTCAACGTTTACTCCATAGTTGCACAATAAATCGACACCTGACTCTTCTGTGGGGAATGACTATAATCTGCCTCATTGGATCAACCACAGGCATGACTTTACTTTGATCATTTCAATAATTGTTTTTAAACTCTAAAAATAGACTGAAATAATAAACATCTCTTTTATGTTTTGTGCCTTTTTAGCTTCTACACTTCCAAAAGTCAGAATTCTTTTAATACCTTCATTCCCCGAATGAAACTTGCAGGCCACAAGGTGAAATAATTTATTTTTACTGTGATGTTCCGAGATTTGCATTGTACCATTTATATTAATTACAACCCTCAAAATCATATCTCCATATTTTTCTTCTAGCGTCATTATGAAAAACTAAAAAAAGGCACCGAACAAAGTAAGTTGTACAAATGCTTCAGTGTGCTTTTTTTTCTTTTCCTGTGCTCAAGAACTGTTTTTAATAACTTGCTATAGCTTTATCTATCCAAAAGGAGTGTGAGAACGGTCTGCCAATACCGGTGGACTATGATGCATATGACTCTCAGGTTTTTAGACTGCCTGGTCCTTCGCTGATTCAGAGAAGTCCCACATCCAGGTGTGTAGATCTGTTGCACTTCAATAATTTTTGTCAATTGAGACTGAACACTTGAATCCATGTTTGCCAAAGATACTGTAACTCCATTTTGCAGGATGGTTCGGGGTAAAGAGAGAAGTGGAAAAAAAAGCTGTGGGTCTGCGGATGTTTCAACTGGCATGGGCGCATCTCCTCCTTTGTGTTTCGCTGGTGCTGATGAACAGCATAGCCTGACATCTGATGATAGTCTGGGCCCTGTAGCTAACATGTTTCTGATACCCCGGATGCCATCTATGGTTTATGAAGTCAGTAGCTCTCTAGGATACACATGTGCCAAAGGTAGTTTTTCGTCTGATAGAAACTCCACAATCCACCCACACTTTGCTTCCCATTCATTGTGATTCTTTATTCAGAGTTGTCTGAGAAGACGGTGGAATCTCAACGAGACTCAAGTGCTCCTGCTCGGTTCACAGTGGGAAGTGCTGAGTCCACCTTGTACATACAGCCAGGAGGCTATACACCGCAGAGAGCCCTTATAAACCCTTTCACACCAACCAGAATTCCCATGAAGCTCACATCGAACCGCAGGCGCTGGATGCACACATTCCCTCTTGGTGAGCTGTACTTTCTTTAGGACACTATTAGTATCATTTTTAATTCTTTATCCCTCTTTTTCATTTTTTTTTTTATATCTCTTCCCATTATTAATTTCGAACTTCTCTCGTCATGTATACTAGTGCTGCGCGATATGGAAAAAATATTTCTATCCCTAGGCCTTTTTTTTGTCACAATAACGATTTAGCACACTATATTTTTTAATATTTTTTCTACAAAAAAATTGACAACACACTGAATGCTTATCTTTACTCCCTTTATTTTGAAGTGACATTAAATAGACCTGGATCAAATGAGAAATGCATCCCATTGTACTGCAATCTCCATTCAGCCATTCATCCATCCATCCGCTTAGCCAGTGTCGGGTCGCGGGGGCAACCGCTAATAAATATTCATTCATTCATTTTCCGAACCGCTTGATCCTCACTAGGGGCGCGGGGGGTGCTGGAGCCTATCCCAGCCGTCTTCGGGCAGTAGGCGGGGGACACCCTGAATCGGTTGCCAGCCAATCGCAGGGCACACAGAGACGAACAACCATCCGCGCTCACATTCACACCTAGGGACAATTTAGCGTGTTCAATCAGCCTACCATGCATGTTTCTGGAATGTGGGAGGAAACCGGAGTACCCGGAGAAAACCCACGCAGGCCCGGGGAGAACATGCAAACTCCACACAGGGAGGCCGGAGCTGGATTCGAACCCGGTACCTCTGCACTGTGAAGTCGACGTGCTAACCACTGGACTACCGGACCGCCCGCTAATAAATATAAATAATAAAAAGTGAAATCTCAATGCTACTTATTACAGGTGATAATTTGAAGTTTTGTTACAGATCTTAGCAAGGATCGTGGAAGTTGACATCATTTGCTTTTGCGGGCCACATAAAATGATGTTGAGGATAGGGTCTGCCTTGAGTTTGACACCTGTGTTCGAAGTCATTCCTCCCGGCTGATGTGTTGTTGTTCAGTCTGCCAACTGATGGCAGCTGTCTGGCATAAGAATGATAAGCTAAAACTTTTTGCTCATCAAATCAAGTTTCTTCTGGCGTTGTTATTCCATGGAGTTAGCTGCAGATGACACATAACGGTAGACACGATAGTAGAAATGTGAGAAGATAGTATTGTTGTTGCGATATATATATGGTGATATTGGCCAGCTGTAATGTATGCTATTAAATGAGAAAGCCAAAAAAGGGGTACAGTGATCCCTCACTTTTCGCGGTTAATGGGGACCTAGACCCCCCCGCGAAAGAGGGAAATCCGCGAAGTAGGTATCCCCCCTCTCCAGGTATACTGTATGTACATGTGTATGAGTATATATAATATTTATAAGGCCAAATTTAATGGTATACATGCATGTAGAAGTAAATGTTTGTAATAATTAACATTACTTAATGCTATATACTAACATGTATGTATATATGTTGTTCTATTTGACTCGCTGTTGTTTTGCTGACTTTCGCTGCCTCTTACGGACCTTTTGCGACTTTTTCGTTTTTTCTTTTTTTTTTTTTTTTGATGAATACTTTTGAAAAATTTGCAATGCACTGAAACCGTGATTAGTGAACCGCGAAGTAGCGAGAGATCACTGTATTTTCAGCACAATGCAAAGAAGCTTATATGGTCACAAAACTGGACAATTTTCCAGAGGTACAATCTTGAAATTAAAGCAGTATTTGATAAATCAAGTGGGACCCATTTTGGGGTTTCCTGAAAAGTGATGATTTTGGATTGCGCCCGACACCAGCGTTATAAAGGTGCCAGGTTCAAGTATTGATCACTTTTGGGAAAAGATGCAATGCGTGTTTTTTCTACATTTGGTAAAAAACAAATATGGGGATTTCAGCATTGACTTATTGACCCGAACAATCCAAAAACTACTGTAGACTTCAACTCAAAGTTTTGTTTCTTACAATCAGTCAACCAACTACAATATCATCTCATAGTGCCACAGTACTTGATAATATTCACCAATGTAATTGAAAATTAAGTTAAAAGTTGAATATTAATTAGTAACTTTCATGACCAATATTTACAGTGCTTCATAACTACGACACGTACAATATCAATAAAAGAAAACAATGTCAACATATAAGAGCAGACAAAGAAAATGCATGTTCGATTAGGCCTCTTTGGTACACATGAATTAAGATACGATTAGAAAACCTTTATTTGTCTCACAATGGAGAAATTCCCAATTTACAGCAGCAAAATTCTGAAAGGGAGAAAGTAGAAGACAAAAGGTATATAAATAAATATAAGCATATTAAAAGTGGGTGAGTCCAGGTTTTCAGGACCGTCTATTCCAGGGGTGTCAAACTCATTTCACATTGTGGGCCACATACGGCCTCGGTAGATGTCAAGACCGTACAATTAAAATTATACCATACTCTGCTAAAATAACCAAAATAATATGTCTTTCCTTTGTTTTGGTCTAAAGAAGCACAAGAACATTAGGAAAATGTTTAAATTTAATGAGCATATCTTTTCCAAAACATTTCATGAAGCACCTTCGGTTTCCTTTGACAAATGTGCAATTTACTTTTATCATTCACATGTATGCATTGCAACTGATCCCACTGATTGTACAAAGGCACAATACTTTAACAAGTTATTGGTATTGAAAAATATAGTAATGCACTTTAAGATTAAACAACATTTATAAAGAAAGGAATTTTTAAAACATTTACACATGTGCATATAAAATCTAAATTTAATCCCTGCCTACACCTTACAAACTAAGGAGAATGCTATTAAATGTGTAAAGAATAAAGTATTCACATGTCCTTGATAGCGTCTGCTGTGTTGGGTCTGTCTCAGTGACTGAGCCTGTTGTTATCTTCTGCTCTGATCAAAACAGTGTGTAAAAATAATGTATTTCCTTTGTTTTGGTCCAAAGAAGCACAAGAACATTAGGAAAATGTTGAAATTTAATAAACAGATCTAGCGGATACTCCATGAATTGCACCTTATTAAAAATATTCATTCTGTGTCTTTTATGCATTTTTTCACTTTTAAATTATCCTGTGGGCCTGATCGAACCTCCTTGGGGGCTGGTTCCGGCCTGCAGGCCGTATGTTTGACACCCTGGTCTATTCAATAGCCTGACAGCAGTCGGCAGGATGGGTGTATCAGTCTCTGGCTGAAGGAGCTGCCCAGTGCTGTCAGGGTGGCCTGGAGTGGGTGGGAGGGTCTGTCCATCATAGGTATTAGCTTAGCTAGTATTCTCCTGTTGCCCACCTCCTCCAGAGTGTCCAGGGAGCAGCCCAGGACAGAACTGGCCCTCCTGACCAGTCGGTCCACTCTCTCTCCGTCCCGGGCTGAGATGCTGCTTGACCAGCAGACTATGCCATAATGAATGGCTGAAGCCACCACAAAGTTATAGAAGGTCTTAAGGAGTGACCCATGAACTCCAAAAGACCTCCATTTTCTGAGCATGAAGAGTCGCTACCTGATCAGAGAGTCCATGTTGTTAGACCAGTCTCGTCTAATAATGAGAAGAACACCCAGGTACTTGAAGGAGGTCACCCTCTCGATGTCATACCCTGGATGTTCATCGGAGTAGGTGAAGACTGTTTCCTGCAGAAATCCACAACCAGCTCCTTAGTTTTCCTAGGGTAGATGGATGACTTTGAGCTCGGCTGTTGTATCGCCTTCATTCAGCCCTTCTTAAAAAACTGGTGGCCCCCCAAAGTGGTTGGGGGTCGGGGTGGGGGGGAGGGTAGTTGGTCACGATGCAACGCTGGAGTGGTCGTTTGTGACCCCCAAGAGAACATGTTTTTTGTTGGGGTTTTTTTCTCGTTCAACTAGAATAAAATATGATTGCACATCCATTACAGTAGTTGGCAGTGGTGCTCTCATTGTCAGTTGTGTGCACCGGGAGTATAAATTTGTTATACGGTGTTAATAAAGTTATTTCATAGATTAACACTTGTCTTTTTAATTTTGTTAAAAAGGATACAGTGTTACAGAGAAGAGCACTGATAACAACTTTGTAGACAAATTATTCTATTTATACCCATGGTAAAGAGTTGGGAGGGGCACTAAATGCTTTCTTCTAATATAAAGTGGGGGTTTCAAAGTTGTTTTGCACAACTTGGGAACAATGACGTTAGTTTTTGGTGGAGCAAACAACACTATATTTTCACGTTCTATTCAAAGGGTTTAGCTAGCAAACCCTTGTTACTATGCTGGTATATGTCAACATTGTGTCATTGGTTTGATAAGCAGTGTTTTATTATTATTATTATTTTTTTAATCCAGCAATATTAGATTTATACTGTAATCAATCCCATGCATAGGTGGCCATGAAGACAATTATTTTTCATATTGATATTTGTTCTCGGTGGCCAGGGCTTTTGACTCGGGTTTCCCGGTTCAGTTTTGACGGATGAATTGCCCTTTTGGTGAATATGGGAGGTATTGCCACTCCCGTGTCAACTCGTCATTGGCGATTACCAGATTGAAAAGGGCCATAAGGACCATTCATCGGGTCGTATACAGTTAAATGGCACACACGAATTCATGTACTTAAAATAAATTCTGGAAAAATTCACCTTTATTGTATGATTTTAAGCAGCACAAGCAATGTACTGTACAAGGCAAACTATGAGAAAACATTTAAAATCCATTTCAGAATAGAGAATTGGAATTGTCATTTATGGGGTCCACATAACATAAAAAAATAAAATAAAAACACTAAACCTACGCACAACCAGGATTTTTGAGAGGTGGTGGAACAGCAGTTTTAGGTGTGAAACTGGGTTACCAGTATGAGTGAATCCGGGGTCCATTGTATAGTGATTACAGGTAATGTGTATATTTATTTTTGATATGTATGTACAGTACATACTTATAAGTACGTACAATGGTACCTCTACTTACAAACGTCTCTTCATACGAAAGTTACGAAACACCTCAACAGGAAAATATTGCCTATTGTTACGTCATTCGCCCCTCATGCCATGAGGCGTTCGGATAGTTTTGCATAAACGTGAATCACCCAGAAAGTATTCACCAGTCGGGCGATCGCTCACTACGCTGATGTTTGCCTTGGACATTTTCGAAGGATTGTTAAAAGCCGACAAAAGCAAACATCCTTGGATCAGTTCTTTACAAAATGCCACGCAAAAATCTCTTCTGGCAGAGAACATGAACTAAAGATGGCAAAAAAAGACGCAATTAAAAGTTAAATGACCATCATTTTTAGGTTAATGGAAAACTCAAAATTGTCCCAAGGTGTGAGTGTGGGTGCAGATGGTTGTTCGTCAAAGACGTCATGCTGAAAATGTGCACATGTTGGCTACAAGCTAAGTTTGAAAGCAACAACTTCGAAGTTGTAGCGTCCATTGACGAAAAAAGAGATTGGCTCACATCTCCTGTCCCATGTAAATCCACTTGAATTTCAAGCGGTGACTCCCAGTCCACATACGCATCGGCACTCTGCGCTGACGCTCCTTTCTTCTCATCGTCGGCTCCCCAAGCCATCCACCCATCCAGCTGCAGACTGTCCAACAGCACTGACCTTTCCGCTGAACAAAGCGGGGCTGTGAAAATGCTGCCCATTACAGGCGCAAAACACAAACGCCCCGAGGCTGTCCAGCACCGACAGTCAAATGGCGCCGACATTCCTCCCAATCAAAATCAGTGCTGGTACACGCGTGCTGCTGAGAAGGCGCCACCACCAAACAGATTCTTCTTCTTTGACGAATGTCATGGCCAAAATGCTGAAAATAATCCACATCAGGTCCACACGACATAACAACACCGTGTAACAAAACAAAAGACAAAAACAACAAAAACGCAAGGCTTTTGAAGAGCACTTGCCGACGACTGCCTACTCAGTCAGGCGCCATCTTGGGAAAAAAAAAATGTCAGGCTAATTGAACACTCTAAATTGTCCCGAGGTGTGAGTGTGAGCATCTCTGTGTGCCCTGTGATTGGCTGGCAACCGGTTCTCCCGCCGACTGCCTGAAGACGGTTGGGATAGGCCCCAGCATCCCCCGTGACCCTTGTCAGGATAAGCGGACCGGCTAATGGACGGATGGATGGATTTTATTTTCTTGTTTACTAAAAATTCACATTTCACCAATGGATCTTTGAATTTAACAAATGCAAATAGTTTTTTATTTTAATTTAAATCATTGCGCACATTCAATTCACATTTGGAATGATTTGCAACATGCCCTAAATTGCCACTTAGCAAAAATTCAAAAATTTCCTTGAAATATGCACAAAATATTCAAAATGTCAGATTTTTCTTGCTTGTTTTTCTTCTCTAACTTCCTAAATTTTTGACCAATTTAAACTGTCTTATCCCTACCAATGCCAAAAATCTGCGTTTGAGAATTTTCAATTGAGTTGTTCAGGTTAAAGGTATAACATTATTAATGGTAGAAATTGAATTGAAATTACAGTGAAACTCCTCTACAACGAAATCATGTTTGCAGCAAGAATTTTTTTTATGTGTACATGCACACACAAACGTATATGTACTCTTTATTTTTATTCCAATAGTGCAGTATGAGCATACACTTATTTGACACGTCATATAGTCAGTGCAGAAAGAAGAAAAGGGAAAGAAATTGCGAAATTTACGATCAGCATTCACATTCACTTACATCAATTTCTTGGATAATGCCTTTTACTTTGCTTCCTTCGTCTTTCATTTTGATCACTTGTACCCTCTCTTCCAGCATCAGAGCTCTTTTTGTCTTAGCTGCTTGGCATCCAAAGGTCCGTTTTGTAGCCATTTTAGCAATGCAACGTTCTTGCTGCGTCTTAAACTAACAATAAGAAAATACTTCCTGGACAACTGCGCATGTGTAAACCAGTGTGGTGGTTGCTGTTGTTGTTTCCGAACGAAGCAGTAGAGGTCGCTGTTGGATTAGATTTCGTTGTCGTGAATCTCGTGGTGAGGCAAGAGCAGAGAAAAAGATTTCATATAACGCAACAGGGTTTTTTTTTCGTTGTATGCGGGGCAGGAAAGTGGGAATGGTGTTAATGTCCATCATTTGGACAAGGGTGTTCAGATTTTTTTATCCTTTGTATGTCTAATAAACCCAATTATGTTCTTCAGATCCTCTTGGAGAAGCTATTCAAATCCATCACCAGACCAGGCAAAGCATTGCTGAATTGCAAGACAGTTGTCAGAGAGATCATGCCCACACCTCATCTGAGCCGCTGGAAGTTGCATATCAGGAGGCCACAGGAAGGTTAGATACACTTAGTATACACGAAATCACAGCTGAGGTAATATGATAAACTTATATAATGCAAAGAATCACTTCTTTGAAAAACAAATTATTTCAGAATGTTTCATGGTCACTTTTCACATATAGACTGAGTGAAGCTCAGGCTTCCCAGGTGGTCAGGTGGAAGTTTGAAAGTGAAGATGAAGTCAAAAGTGTCGTGAGCGACTGGCTGAGACATCAGTCCAAAGATTTTTACACTGAGGGAATATGGAAGCTTGTGCACAGATAGGAAAGCTGTGTGACAGTGCTTGGAAACTGTGTTGGACAAAAAAAGTTAGCTTCTATCTGTATTAGAAGTCCTTAAACTGAAAATTTTACCTTATTTATTGCATGACCCACGGATATATCCATCCAGCTTCGTATTCTAATCCACTTATTCTTAAAAGGGTCGCGGGCGGGCTGGAGCCTATACCAGCTGTCTTGGGGCAGTCGGTCATCCGACTGACAGCCGGGAACTAGTTTCCGGGGCACACAAAGACAAATATCCATTCGCGCTCAAAATCACACCAAGGGACAATTTAGAGTGTTCCATTAGTCTGCCATGCATGTTTTTAGAATGTGAGGGGTGGGGGCGGGGGGACCGGAGTCCCTGGAGAAAAGCCACACAGGCACGAGGAGAACATCTTAGTCGAGCCGCTTTTTCTCCACGTCGAGAGGAGTCAGATGAGGTGGCTCAGGCATCTGATTAGGATGCCTCCTGGATTCCTCCTTGGTGAGGTGTTCCGGGCATATGTCCCACTGGCAGGAGGCCCCGGGGACAATCCAGGACACAGTAAAGAGACTCTCTCTCCCGGCTGGCCTGGGAACACCTTGGGATCCCCTGAGAAGGGCTGGAAGAAGTGGCTGAGGAAAGGGAACTCTGGACTTCCCTGCTAAAGCTTTTGCTCCCGCGACCCGACCTTTGATAAGCGGTAGAAAATGGACTGATGGATGGGCTCTCACTCTGCATTTTTTTAAACTTATTTTTCGCTAATTTTTAGAATTTGTTGTTGATGGAATACATTTAAGTAGGACAAACATGCAAAATATTTTTTTAAAAATCAGCACCACAGTACCGTATTCCTTAAATTCCGGTGCGCCTTCTGTATGGTTATTACGGTAATATGTCGACCCCTAAGATGGCTCCTTGCTGGAGACATGCTTACAATGTTATCACTTGCTGTTGGTTCAGTGAACTGTGTGTCTTATTGTCAGAGATTCTCGGACAAAGTTAAAGAAATGACTCGGCACACAGGAAAATTGTCTTCAATATCGGCGGGAGCGGATCTCTGAGAGCGAACGACGGTAGTTGCTCCGATGATCACACTCTCCCGCACCCTTCCCGAAGTGGCTGAGGAAAGGGAACTCTGGACTTCCCTGCTAAAGCTTTTGCTCCCGCGACCCGACCTTTGATAAGCGGTAGAAAATGGACTGATGGATGGGCTCTCACTCTGCATTTTTTTAAACTTATTTTTCGCTAATTTTTAGAATTTGTTGTTGATGGAATACATTTAAGTAGGACAAACATGCAAAATATTTTTTTAAAAATCAGTCAAGGGGACACTTAACACCACAGTACCGTATTCCTTAAATTCCGGTGCGCCTTCTGTATGGTTATTACGGTAATATGTCGACCCCTAAGATGGCTCCTTGCTGGAGACATGCTTACAATGTTATCACTTGCTGTTGGTTCAGTGAATTGTGTGTCTTATTGTCAGAGATTCTCGGACAAAGTTAAAGAAATGACTCGGCACACAGGAAAATTGTCTTCAATATCGGCGGGGGGGGGGGT